ATTTTCTTATTATTAACTAAGCAGAGATTTATAACTATCAGAGTTATAATATGAAGAGCTTCTAAGGAGCATAAAATAACTGAATAATTATATCAAAAATCTAATTTTAACTAATGTAAAGTTATTTATAGTTTTAAATATCCTACTCAACCTTTTCAAAGCCATGGTTCAATGCTTGTTAAGGTCTTTGAAATATACAAATGTTCCAATGAGCCCTGTAACTACTATCTCAGAGCCCCAAATATTTAAGGGTTCCAAATTGGGAAGTAATGGGCATAAACTAGTTTAAAAATCACCTAACAAATATGGTTTATTCTCACTTGAAGAATTAAATTTAATTATTTCAAGTATCATAACTGTCTAAATGTGATAGAAAACAAAATCCTGTGACTCTTCAAAATATTTTTTTTCTTCTGCCCTCTTTTCCACTCTGTTTGCCCAAAGCATTACTGGTAAGAGTAAGACATATTCAGCATGTACTCACCCGCCTGATTAGTTGTGATGCTGACTGCAGCAAATTGTCTTGGTGGGGAGCTCAGCTCTGACACCCCATTAATGGCATCAATCTCAAAGGTGTAGTTAGTGTGTGCCAGGAGGTCTGTCACTGTCACCGTGGTGTTGGTGAGTCCAAACTGTCGAGGGAGGAAGCGGACATTTGGGCTGCATGGCTCACATTGTTTTACATTCCACCCACATTTTTTACATATGATGTTGAAGGTAACGTCTTTCCGGCCTCCTGTGTCCAGGGGCCAACTCCAGTCCAGGATAACCGAGGTCTCGTTTATGTTAGAGATAACATTTCTTGGTGCAGATGGAGGCCCTGAAAAGTAGTTCAACAGAGATTAATGAGCCTCACTTCTGTTTTCTACTACAAGGGAAATAGATAATTTACAATGGAACTGAAAGAGGTAAATAACCATCCTGTCTTTATTATCTACTTTTAATTCATCCTTAGAGGATCCATGAGATTATAGACACATGGATTCAAGAGGACTGTCCTCCCCAAGCTATGACTGGGGGAGTTTTGACTCAAGGGTGAGGGTACATTCACAAAGTCCAACAAAAGAATTTACCACTATGTTTAATACCCTTGTGAATACTTATGAAAACTTTAGTATTAGTTTTATAAATCTTAGTCCTTTTTCCCTGTGACCTATGACCAACATAGAGCAAGAGGGAATAGAAATGTAAAAACATAAATCCTCTGCCTATAACCTCCTCTATCCTGTCAAATGTAATGCAAGGTCTAAAACAAGACACAGAAAATGTTCTCTCTTTCTTGGGGTTGTATTGCAGGAAGTACTTTAAAATATAATTCATTTCGTGTGATAAATGTTGCACTTGGGGTGAGCCAAGCATGGAGAGTGAAGCAGAGAAAGCTTTCAATTTGCACATGGATAACAGAAGGAAATGGGCCAGATGCTTTCACACAACAACAACAAAAAAAACAAGCAGCACAGTAACCAGAAGAAAAACCAAACCAAACCAAACCAAACATGGAGGCATGGGTTGCAGCAGAACTACTCACGGGTACAAGCCATGGATGGAGGGTCTTTGTCTGCTCGGAAGTAATTATTCTCACACCTGCAGTTCATTGAACCATCTTCGTGAGTAGAACTGTGAGGTGGGCACTTAGCGCACTTCATATTACCATCCAAAGCCTTGTAGAAACCTGGTTGGCAAGCTACAAACAAAATGACTCTTTTAGAGTTCTGTGATAAGTTTGAAAATGTATTTCAAAAATATGTGACACAGATTTCAGTATGCTAGAATATGAATTCATTATGAATAAAAATTATTTTTGTCCTAGAATTTACAGAAGCAAATAATATGGCCTAGTGTAATTCTTTTTTACATATATGTTTGAATTTGCGCCAAATGTTAAGGCAAAAAAAACCCCACAAGATTTAGATTATTTTGGCACGAGAGTATGATGAAATTTCCAGCTTGTGTTTTCACAGCTTTACTTGGCATTGGACTATTTGTGGGGAAAATAAAGCAAAACCATGTCACCATGTAGTCATTCCCTTTTTTAAACATGATGCAATGTATATACTATGTGCACTGCAGTTAGCAGTATATTACACACTGACTTGTTTTCTAATTGCTCTATGTGTGTACAACCTTGTCCCACAAATTATAAGCAACTGAAGGAAGAAAAATATACTTCCTGTATTTTTTAGGATTCTTGATATATGATTTTCACGAGTTATGATTTTTTTCTGGCTTGACAGTGTTGTTTCTTAACTTCTATGGCAAAGGCCTTAAATAAAGATTTAAGTATATTCCCTTGTTGATTTCTGAAATACATGGAGATGTTCTGGCCATATCTCTGCATGGTATGTTTTTGTAAGTCCAAAGGGCTGGTTATCAAATATTGATTTTAGTTTACCATTTAGTGTTTTCCATCTATTTACTGCTTTTACAGAGATATGCCTCACTATATTATTTTCATTTAGTCTGATAGAAAATTCAAAATGCTGTATTATTTCATCTAATTCATTTTCATAATAACACTGGGAGCTGAAATCATAGTGAAAATTCTAACAAAAAGTCTCTTGACATTCCTTTGAAGAAAGAATTCAGGATCCAAATTTTAAGTTTCATCCATATCATCTTTGAAAGAGTCAATGATTTCTAAAACTCTAAAATTCAATTTCAATGCTACATTAAGACCTGATGACTTAAAACACTTACGCATAGAATAGACCCTATAGATTGTGTTTGAATTCCAGAATGTTCTTGTGGCAACTTCATCTTGTGCATATAGTTTATTTGCATTCAGGTAAAACCTGTGTGGACAAGCCTTAGTTTTATAATCACTAAATGCATTTTTAAAAAGTAACACATTATATGCATAATTGAATACCTTTTGACTGGAAGTTTCTTGAAATAAAATAAGAGAAATACATTGGAAAGAGAAACTATTACAATAATTTAAAATGATAGCAATCATTAATCTAGTCTTGCTGTTTCCTAGTTCCCAGTAAGAATGGCTGCTTTAGGATCATTTTATAGTTGATCATTTATTGAACAACTATTGGTGTCACATTGAGATTCATTCAAATAAATTCTACTGCCCTAATCAGACATGGATTAGGATTGTAAACTTTTTGGCATTGTCCTTAAGCACTAGTTAGGAACTTCCACTCATATCTCATGTCATATTTCCTCAGAAGGGAAAAGATATACAGTATATAAACAAACTATGCACTTAACTTCTGGTTTCAATTTAGTTCATTATCAAGTGTCTTTAGATTTGCAAGAGGGCGTTGCCGAGTCTTTAAAAGATTATGTTGCAGTGCACTGACGTACTTTGTTATTAATATTTTGTTTGCTTGTAAGTTTATCTGTGTGTTTTTGTTTGAGGCTTTTATGGTTTTTACAACATTTGGCATAAAGGTATTCACTAAACAATCACTTTTTGTTAATATTATAAATGGGTATACTATGAGATACTTTAAAAAAGACAAGACAGTCACATAATCACTTTTTAGCTACAGCACAATTTATCAGGATTATTGATAATATCTTGAAGGTAGCTACAGTTAATAAACATAAAAGTTAAGAATGTCACCCAAACTAGTCGCTAGACTTTTTCCAATTATGGTCAAATAATAACCTTAGAGATGGTAATACTAAAAGATAGGTAGACACATATACATACAATTTAATAGATATTTGTTAGGCATCTACTTTTGCTTAGGCTTTTTGATAGACGTAAATGCAAAAAATTCTGTTCATACCAAAAGGGCCCTTGCAATCAAGAACAGGCAGCAGGCATTTAATACAGACCACATTGAGCAATCACTCTGTTCTGACTGATTGGTTGGAAGAGACTCCACAGAAGAAGTGTCATTTGAGAAGGATCATAAAAATATAGCAAGAAGTGGCTAGTAAGAAGCATAATTAAATATACAAATAGACCAACATGAAAAGATAAACTGTTATGTAGAAAACTGTGGCAAGTGGTGTTGATTATGTACCTAATATCCACACTCTGCTTCCTGCTTGCTAACAGAATCCTAATTTTGCTCAGAATTCAACCCAGACAAATATTGTCTTACTCAGACTTCAGTGCAGCTAGAGATGAATGGCCAAACTTATGGCCAAAAAGATGGTTAAAAAATAGAAACAAGAATCTGGTGATAGTCTTTCTTTTATAGGAAGATGGTCCAAATGCAAATGGAGACACCCCTTCTATATTATTCCAGCCTCAATTATGGAAATCATGGCCAAAATTGCAGCAGCTTACATGTGATAAGGAGTTAAAAGCCAAGGAAATCAGAGGGATGTGTAACCCTGTCCTTGTTGACCCAGCAAACACTTATGTCAAGATTTCTTATGTTAGAAAGATAACACTCTGTTTGTAACAATCTGCACGTTTCTTTCATTTAAGTATTATTTTATAGACTGAAGAAGGTTCCACATATAAAAGAAAAAAAATCATGAAAGTGTAGAAAGTAGATATGTTAATATGTCTTCTTACTTTTCATTATTTAAAAAAAGTTTTGGTAAACTTAATAGAGAATACTGAAGAAAACAGAATAGACAAGAAGGGTTGACAAATGAATACTAATTTAGATTTGCCAAGTGACAAGTTTTAAAATACAAAGCCCCAGCTATATAGTCAAAGTCTTCGTGGTATACACCAGCTATTAAAGCAATACTTAACTAAGATGGATACAAACGTGTCAAAAATCTGCTGCCAACGGCCTGGCACAGTGGCTCACGCCTACAATCCTAGCACTCTGGGAGGCTGAGGTGGGAGGATTGCTTGAGCTCAGGAGTTCAAGTCCAGCCTGAGCAAGAGGGAGACCCCCGTCTCTACTAAAAATAGAAAAATTAGCCGGGCAGTGTGACGTGTGCCTGTAGTCCCAGCTCCTGGGGAGGCCATGGCAGAAGTAGCGCTTGAGCCCAGGAGTGTGAGGTTGCAGTTGGCTATGATGATGCCACTGCACTGTGCCCAGAGCAACAGAGTGAGACTCTGTTTCAAAAAAAGAAAATCTGCTGCCAAAGCGGAGTTCTGATCTACATCTTCCCTCAGGTAACCCAGTAGTAAATGTTCTTTTCAGTCAAATGCTGGTAAAAATACATTCATAGATTTTAACCCCAGTGTGGATATTGTGTACATAATAAACAGCACTTGTCACATTCTTCTACATAACCATTTGTCTTCTCCTGTTGGTCTATTTGTGTATTTAAAAAATATTCATAGATTTACAGGATAATAAAACCAAAGAGTGATTAAACAGTTTAAAATCTTTTAAGTGGAGGCAAATTGCCATTTTTTCTTTCTGGTCCTAGAGATGTTTACTCCCCTTGTAAGGAGATTTTTAAACTAGTTAAGTATGGCAGGAACTGTCATCTCTGATGTCATGTCAATAATTCAAACTAAGATGATCCATGGAATCTAAGTTAATAACTGTTCAAAGATGGAAGGCAGCACCTCCTCAAGCCCTTCTGGATAGCATCATGAATTTATTAGGAATCAGACTTGTTTTATAATGTTTGGATTAATTTATTCACTTTTATTAAACAAACACGTATTTGTCTCCTAAATGACCTAGATACTTGCTATGATTTGGATGTTTGTGTTTCCCCAAAATTCATATGTTGAAACCTAATGGTCAATGTGATGGTGTGAGGTGGTGGGGCTTTTGGGAGGTGAATAGGTCATGAGGGCAGAATCCACATAGATGGGATTAGTTCCCTTTTAAAAGAGCCCCAGAGAGCTGCCTTGTCCCTTCTATCATGTGAGGACACAGCTAGCAGGTCCATCTATGAACCAAGAAATGCGTCCTCACTGGACACTGAATCTGCTGGCACCTTGGTCTTGGACTTCTCAGCCTCCAGAACCGTGAGAAGTAAATTCCTGTTGTTTATAAGCCACCTAGTTTATGATATGTTGTTAGAGCAGCCCAAACAAACTAAGATAACAATTGATTGTTTTCAGTCTTATAGTGATAAAAGTCACAATCCTAGTTTTAAAGAAGAGACCAATTTCATATGTCATAGTTATTTTAGAAATGGATCTGCTCCCTAGAGAATTTGAGTTGCAAGGCACTTTTCTATATAGCTTTTATGTTACCTTCACCAAGAAATTCCCTGATTTTTCTTATTTTCATCTCAATACTTCAAGGTATTTTCAGCACGTTACAAGAGAAGCACTGGACTAGGAAGGAGGAGATACAGGTCTTGATCTAGTATTTTCTACTGAATAGATGTTTTTTTCAGATTCACTGATCAGGTATCTTAAAACTTTAATGAGGTAGTTGGGATAGTGACTTCCTCTTTTACAAATAACTCTGAGGTTCCATTTTCAGTAATTATGTATTCCCAGGTTAGACTCTGAGCAATACAGAGACAGGAATTATTTCCTATTAGTTTTATACCCTGTATCTAGCACACTGGCCAGTGATGAGAAGTTGATGAGATGCATTTTTTAAGTGAATGATTAACTTGCGAATGATTGTCTCTAAGGACTTCAATTTCCTCATTTACAAGATGACAGGTGTTGACTAAATTGTCTCTAAAGACTCTTCAGGACCAGACACTTTAAAATGTTAATACTTTGTGTTCCAAAATTTGTATTAATAGAATTCCTAATAGTTTCTAAATAAAAAAGAAAGAACAAAATATCTTCACATTTATCACTGCTTTAAGGATTAAAATTATCCATTG